CAGAGTCTTACTCTGTCGCCCTGGGTAGAATGCCGTAGAGTTATAGTTCACAACAACCTCCAACTCTTGGGTTTAAAAGATTCTCTTGCCTCAGCCTCTCAAGTAGCTGCGACTACAGGCGTAAGCCACCGCGGCCCAGCCATAAATACATATTCTTTAATAATGGTGCTTTTCTTGCATCTATGCCATGTTCATGAAGATTTTTTTTCAGATCCTTTTAACTGACAAATAAAAATTATACATTTATGGTGTATCGCACGATAGTTCTATAGGACAATTCTGCCTTAGAGAATCTATAAGAACTACGTAAGCTCCGAGGAAAATGAACTGTGTACCACACCGCGGTTTATAATTTCAAGTCCACGGAACCCTTCCTGCAAACTATTCTCTGACACCCCGCGCCAGGATCCCTACCCCAAGTTAAAAACCTCAACTACAGACCACCAGGAAGGAACCAAGCAGTGCTCAAGGAGTGTGGGGTCAACTAAAAGGGACAGCGGCCCGCTCGGTACCGACGGGAACTGCAAAAGGACAGTGCAAAGATTCGGCTCAGCCCAGTTCCCAGCACCGGGACCCAGAGAGAGGGAGGAAAGGCCCCCCAGCGTCTTGGGCGGCGGATAAGGGAAGGAGCGGGGCCTGCAGCCCGCGAGGGAAGGAGCGGGGCCTGCAGTCTCCACGCCACCCGGCCTCGGCCTCCCCGCGCGGGAAGTTTGGGGGTCGCGGTGACAGGTGTGGCCGCGGGGAGGACAGTCTCGAGTAGAACGCAGTCGCGTCTTTTGGCTGGCAGCGAGGGCCCAGACACAGGCGGAAGCAAAGTCTGACGCGAGGCCCGCTGGCGCTCACTTGTCCTGGTCCCCAAGCCGGGCTGGTCAGAGCCGGGCCTCCCGGCCAGGAAGAAACACTGCCGCTGCCCGGGACTCCCTCATTCCCCGCAGCCCCACCCGAACCCCGGGGCGCCTCGCTAGCCCCAAGCCCCACCTGCAGCCGGCCCCGGAGCCACTCTTCTGTGCGCGCCCGCACGCGCGCGCCCGCCGCCGCGCTGCCGCGCCTCCCGCGCCGCCGGGTCCTAGCGCCGGACGCTCCTACGTTACTGACGTCTCCGGCGCGGCCGCGGGCCCCTGGCACCCAGGATTGTCCCCAGGCTCGGCGAGTAGCCACCCGGATCAGAATCCTAACCCCCACTCCGAGTTGCCAACGTCCACGCTACGCCGATCTCTGGTCTTCTGAGCTCCAGGCCTCCTCCGCCCCCGCGTCCTCAGAGCTGCAGATCCCTGTCCCCACGCCCTTGCCCCTCTTCGCATCCCGTTAGGCTCACACCCCGATGTCCGCCGCCCTTGGCTCTTTCGCAGATGCCCAGGCGCAGGACACGCAGCTCAGGTCCAGGGCCGGCCTCCCTTCCCGCCGCACACAGGATTTCCTCTAACACAGCTTCCTGCCTTTGCCTCTGTGGGCGTCTCTAGCTGTCCGCTGAGTTCCTGGCCGCCTCCCCCCACCCCCCTTTAAAAGTAAGATCTAGAAACTAGACGCAGAAGGACAGACATCCTTGATTCCACTAACATGAGGCACCTAGAACAGCCAAATTTGCCGAGACAGAGCATAGTCGGTGGCCGCTGGAAAGGGACGCGGGCGGGAGCTGGGCAGGGAGTGTTTCGTGGGCACAGAGTTTCAGTTTGAGAGGATGAGACAGTTCTGGAGATGAATGCCCATCGGGGGTGCAACCGCAATGCGAAGGGACTTCAAGCCACTAAGTGCACATTCAAAATGGACTTGCTCGATTTCATGTTATGTATATTTCAAATCACATACCACAAAAGCCTGGTAAGAAGAAAGAAAAAAGGGCTTAAAAAGTTAAATATATAAAAGGAAGCATCAGTGCAGAGATGCAGTAGGTCCTCCTGGAATCCACTGGTTTGCCTCAGATTGCCTGGACCTTCTCTTTAGGGTTGCCAGCGGAGATACAGGATGCCCAGTTAATTTGAATTTCAGATAAACAACAATAATATTTTAGCATAAGCATGTTCCAGACTAAGTGTGGAGATGACATATGGCATACTTATTAGTAAAAAAAATAAAATTCGTGCTTGGCGCTTGTAGCTCAGAGGCTAGTGCGCCGGCCACATACACTCGGGGCTGGTGGGTTTGAAGTGGCCCCGGGCCTGCTAAATGACAAGGAGAACTACAACAAAAAAATAGCTGGGTGTTGTGGCAGGCACCTGTAGTTCCAGCTACTTGGGAGGCTGAAGCCAGAGAATCGCTTACACCCAAGAGTTTGAGGTTGCTTTGAGCTGTGATGTCATAGCACTCTACCCAGGGCAACAGCTTGAGACTCTGTCTCAAAAAAATAAATAAAATAAAATAAAATAAAATAAAATTCGTTGTTTAAAATTCAAAGTTAACTAGGCATTTTATTTTTTATTTGCTAGATCTGGCTACTTTGTTCTCTTCCTCTCCTACTTTCCTAGTTTTGTCCTCCTTCCTTGCCCTCTCTGCTGGGGGAGTTAGATTGAGTTGTAACAAGAACATTTCATTGTCTCATGGCTGCAGCATCTGGTCCCCACAAATGGTGAGCAAGAGATGGGTTCCACCTATATTGCAGACTGAATGTCTGTATCCTCCCCAAATTCATTTGTGGATACCTAACCCCCAATTGATGGTGTTCAGTGATGATCAGTTTGAGAGATAATTAGGTTAGATGAGGTCAACAAGGTAGAGCCCTCATGATGGTTTGTAAGAAAGAAGATCTCTCCCTCCCACCCCCGCTCCCAACCTCTGCCTCCCCACCATAGGAGAACACAAAGATAAGGCAGCCTTCTGCAAAACAGGAAGGGAGCTCTCAGCAGGAATGGAATCAGCTGTCACCTTGATCATGGAGACAGAAATGAAAGCAGATGTGGTTCCCAGGGGAGGGGAGAATGGGAAGTGGTTGCTTAATGGGTACAAGGCTTTATTCTGGGGTGATGAAAAGGAGAACTACGTAGAGATAGTTGTTGCACAACACTGTAAATGTACTACATGCCACTGATTCTTCACTTTAACATGATCAATTTTATGTGAATTTCACCTTTTAAAAAATGCTCAGCGCATAAGAAGTACTGTATAAATACTAGTTGCTATTACAATACCATGGGTTCCTTGACTTCCCCAATGGGAGGGCCAAGGCTTTGTCTTATACTTTCATGTGGACATTTACTCAATGAATCATACAAAGTGAGAGCTTGGAAAGATCTCAAAAACCATAGAGCTGATGCTCCACTGATAGAGGAGATGGGGGTAGCAAAGCCACTGGACTCTTTTGTGTCCTCCAAGGACATTTTTTCCTTTCTTCAGGTCCAGAGTGAGGAAGATAAAAATAGTTTCTCATGTCACTGTTTGTTTAGCACACATTTATTTATTTAATTTTTTTTGGAGACAGTTTTATTTTGTCACCCTCGGTAGAGTACTCTGGCATTATAGCTCATGGAAGCCTCAAACTTTTGGGCTCAAGCGATCCTCTTGCTTCAGCCTCCCAAGTAGCTGGGACGACATGCACCCGTCACAATGCCTAGCTATTTTTTTTTTTTTTTTGAGACAGAGTCTCAAGCTGTCACCCTGGGTAAAATGGTGTGGCGTCATAGCTCATAGCAACCTCCAACTTGGGCTCAAGCAATTCTCTTGCCTCAGTTTTTCTTTCTTTCTTTTTTTAGTAGAAATGGAGTCTCCCTCTAGCTTAGGCTGGTCTCAAACTTCTGAGTTTAAGCAATCCACCCACCTTGGCCTCCCAGAGTGGCAGGATTACAGGCATGAGCCACTTGGCCTGAACTCTCAGCACACATTTATCATGTGCTCTCCCTATGCCTTCAAACAAGTCAGGGAAGCAGATGCTTAAAACAGATGATGACCAGTGACAGGTATTTTGAGAGAAGCAGTGGTGAAGAGGTTGGGGTGCCCAGGAGCATGCCATAAAGGAAATCATTCAGGAAAGATTACTTTCAGTGGTGCCAAATAGAAACCTGACTGCAGGACTTAAACATTGGGAGTTCACATTTTCCATGTAATAGGAGAAAGGAGGTAGGCATAACAGTGGCTTCATGGTGCCTTTTGGAAACTAGAGCTTTCTACTCTGCTTGAGCACTTGGTTTTTATCCTAATGATTGTAACATCTGTGCCCTAATTCCAGGTACTGAGGAAGGCTTTTAAAAACAGGAATACAGTAAGAGAAGAAAAAGAATAAACCAACCCACAGTTCTAAAAAGTGATTATGTATATGTGTGTGCACTTATCTGCATTCTTGGGA